TTATATATATATATATATATATACATATATATATATATATATATACATACATATACACAGTGATACAGTACTGTGAAAAGTTTTAGGCACTTGTGTAAAAATGCTGTGTCAAAAATAATGTCATAAATAGATTTTCTTTATCAATGAACTTTTATTAACTAAATTAAATCAACATTTGGTGTGACCATGCTTTACATTTAAAGCAGCTTTTGCCCTCGGTTTTTCAGGTAGCTTTGCAGGTAGGTCTCTTGAAGCATCTTGGAGACGTTGCCACAGTTCTTCTGGATTTAGTCTGTCTCAGTTTGTTCTTTAAGTTTGTTATTTGTTATAAAAAATAACTTGACCCCCTAACAGCTCTTCCATGTCTCTTCTATACTTTTCATTCTTTTTATTTATTATAAAAACACTTTTATATATTGTTGGTTTGATTGCTTCTATTGTCCTCTTTTATAAGTAGCTTTGCATAAAAGCATCTGCTACATGAATAAATGTAATGTAAATAATCCCTTTAAACATATTTACATTACATACTGTATCACAAGTGTATTTTGTTTATAAAGTCTTAAAAATATAGTTGATGGGCAGCTAACTGAGCAATAAATGCCAAAAGACTTGGTTTAACTAACTTTAATAGATCTGCCCCAAAAGTTATATACATAAATTGCTGTAAAAATACTGATGAAAGAGCATGTAAATGCAGCCACTGCAAAAACCATCAACCATAAACACACAAACTGTCTGGAATGCTGATGTACCAGCTACTGTCAAAATGCACACAAGCCCCTAAAGACTTTACACATAAAGACACTGAGTGTGTATCTGTGATAATATCTCATTTAAATAAATTAATATTTTAAATAAATATATAAATTATAATTAAAGTTTCCTACTGCGATAAGTTAAAGTTCACCTTACGCAAAATGCTTAAAAGTTTCCACAAAAATAGTTCCTTTCTGCATGAATACTGGCTACACAAACACAGATGAGGAACGCAACACTCCAGGTTCACTCCAGGAGAGAAACTAATGTTAGCTTGTGAGCATCGTCATGACACCAAAACGGTCTGGCAGTCTAAATCAAAACACCGAAAAGGGTATTACTCAGGAAATGCACAGAAATGAATAATATCTACAAATATTTGACGTTACAATAGGTAAATTTGGAAAAGACATCACAGACCTTAAAGCAACAAGAATCCAGGCATCTGAACTCACAGGTACTGAGAATAATTAAAGATATATTGAGAACACAGTGGGAAAACTGTATAAAAAAAATTTTTGTAAAAAATAAACCTGAGGAAATTGTTTCAAACGTAAATAATGCATGAATGTTTCCTCTTTTTGGGTTCATAAGTGATACATTTATGTAATTCATACATGATTTTAAGTGTTGAGTATTGAGTATTGTGTTCATAGCCGAGTGTTTGAATTTAAGTGGCTGGAGGAAGACTGCAAGGTACAATGGCACCACTTACGACAAAAACTTTGCTGTCAGTAAGCACCGTTTTAATCCAGTTATCCAAAACCTCAATAAATAAATCTCCTCTACTCTGCAAATAAAAACAACCTCAATGCACTGTCACCATCTGCATAAAAATTCACAACATCAACTGTCTGGATGCATTGCTCAGTTACCGTTCAAGCATTGAAGACGTGCTGACTCTTCAAATTCCCTCGACGAAACCTCACTGTTAGCATCAGCAGTATAGAGTTGGACTTTTTCATTTTATTTGTGAATAGCAGTTCCATCTTGCTCCTATACTGCGGCACGATTCCAGCTCTGTTAGTCAATTATCATGACTTCATCTACAGGCCTCACGGGAGAACAGACCAAATCACTATATATGCACACAAAACTGTTGTGAAACTTGTCCTGTTAAAACAGGCACTTCTGTTAGAGTCAAGATTCTTAGAGTCAAGAACATTTTATTAAACTAAAGAACCAATATTTGTAACCCACATTTTGCCTCTTTTTTCCACAATTTTCACTTCATATAAACTTGTAATTGTGAGATAAAAGTTTAATATTCTAACTTTTATAATTTAAGAAATTAGGAAGGGGGCCAACACTTTTTCACACCACTGTATATATAAATGACTAATTACTTTTTAAATTACTTTTGACTGTAAAATCACAGCTAGCACATAATGGCATAAGAGTGACAACCTTTTTTTTTTTGAAAGATGCCAAATTTAATTTGTGTAGAAAACATTTAGTTTGTTTTTTCTTTCAATTGTGAGTTCATCTCACAATTCTGAATCCACAATTCTGAATTATTCTTAGATTTGCAAGTAAACATTTCGCAATTCTGAGTTTATATCTCGCAATTCATACATTTTTTTGTCTCAACTTTTTTTTCTCAGAATTGCGAGAAACAAACTCAGAATTCTGACTTTTTTCCTTACAATTTTTACATCTCACAATTCTGAAATTTTATCAGCCACTTCTGACATGTTTTCTGAGAATTCTGAGTCTACATTTTGCAATTGTTGTTTTGTTTTCCGCCACAATATATATAATATAATTAGGGCCCTATGAAATCCTTTTTTTACCCCAATTTCCATTTTTTTCCCCCACAAATTCAGTTTTTTCCCCATTTTAATTGTTCTGGATTTCATTTTTTTTCCATTTTATTTTTGGAAAAAAACATGCTTCTGCGCCATTCATTCACACACAGACAAGCAGACCATGCAGGATTCATATTCAAATAGTATTTTTGCTGCTTAATATTCACAGAGACTAGTCCATATCACATTTTTATTTATTCATCCAAATGTTGGCAAATTCTGTGAAATTCCGTGTTATACATTAAATTCCATTTTTGACCAGATTCCACGTTTCCGTCCGCATTTTCTGCATCACGGAACTCATAGGGCCCTAAGAATACAAAACAGGTTATGACTATTTTTATCTCACAATTCTAACTTTTTTTTTCTCACAACTGTGAATTTAAATCTTTTTTGCAAAAAAAAAATAATAAAAGGTAATTTTATATCTCACCAGTTAGCCTTTGTTTCTTGCAATTGAAAGAAAAATCAATTTATTTTTTTATTCCGTGGCAGAAACGGACTTCCATACTTTATTTTCACGAGTGTACAGTCTCAGACTACATGTTCACAGTCAACCGTTTGGGGCCTTATTGAGTCCTCAAGAGAGAAGTGTTCTGTGTTGTCCTAATCGGTTATGCTAAGAATGCGATTTGGGTTTGAGAAAATTGGGCAGATAAAGAGGAGACAGAGATATAAGAGGGCAAAAACAGAGAGGAAAGCGAGAGATAAAGAGAGAGAGTCCATTGGCGTCACTGCTCGTAAGGCCTTGATGTGAGTCACTCATGTTTACCTGCGTCAAATGCGGCAGTGTTCCATCTCCTGAGAACCTCGAGACCCTCAACCCTTCCCGAGTCTCTCCCTTTGCTATTACTGCCTTCCCTCTTCTCTAATATCCTACACTGCCTCTAATCAGCCTTTTTCTGCATCTATTTTTCCACTCTCTCCATCCATTCAATATCTCTCTGTAATCACGCCTACTGCTCTGCATCCCTCACAGCCTTAAAGGGATAGTTCACCCAAAAATGAAAATTTGATGTTTATCTGCTTACCCCCAGGGCATCCAAGATGTAGGTGACTTTGTTTCTTCAGTAGAACACAAACGGAGATTTTTAACTCCAGCCGTTGCAGTCTATCAGTCGTATAATGCATGGCAATGGGAATTTCTCCATGGGAATTTTTTCACTCTCATAGATTTTGTTACCATTGCCATGCATTATACGACTGATAGACTGCAACAGCTGGAGTTAAAAATCTCCGTTTGTGTTCTACTGAAGAAACAAAGTCACCTACATCTTGGATGCCCTGGGGTTAAGCAGATAAACATCAAATTTTAATTTTTGGGTGAACTATCCCTTTAACTAGAGCAGTAGCAAACAGCCAGAGTCAGTTTTTCCAAACACTCCAGGAGATCTATGAAGGAACAGCCATCTGATTAACATGTCAACTGACCAATCACAGTTAGGCTTTGATGCACAAAATTTTCACATAAACAAGTAAAACTTAGGTATGTTTACGGCATAAGGGAATACGTTAAGAAAGGCTAACTCTGATGTTGATTTTACCCCTGTTTTATGACAGTGTAAGACAGCTATGGTCAGAGTAAATCTGAAATCAATGATTTGACAATAGCAATCTAGAACAAAATGAAATGACAGATTATTTTCAAACAGCACAAAAGTCTCCATAAACGATTGTAATCTGATTCTGAGCATTTTAAAATGTAATATACTCTAATTACAAATACTTAAAGGGGTCATATAAACTGCATAAACACATTTCATTACACCAAATACACAAAATAATGTTATTTTTTAGCAACGTCAAATGACCCCTTTAATTTTTGGGATCTGATTATGTAATCCAGATTATATGTAATCAGTTACTACCCAGCACTGATTACATATTATTTCCTTTTAAAATAGAAATATCATTTATTAAAAATTATTTTGCATTAAAAAAAACATTTTGTATCCTGACGGACCAATTAAAACCTGTGCAGCTTGAATCTTACAAACTACAAAGCCGACCAATTGCAACGGAGTGTTGATTTTGAGAAAGCAACTGCCACCTGCAAAAGTGCAATGTGCCTTCGACAGTCTTTGAACCATTTTTGGTAGTTTGTGTGCATTCCATCTGCAGCTTTGACTAGAGTGGCACCTCAGAAACAACATGAAGACTCAACAAATTCATGATGTCACACAGGTTACCTGTTGGGTCAGTGTGTCCCAGGGTCCCTGCTGTAGTCTCTGTCTATAGTTCGGATGAACATTGCTCCACACCTCCTCGAGAGACAGGGGTCGCCCATCTGTGATGGAGAATGAGTTTTTCTGATTACAGCCCCCTTTGAGCAATCTCTTTCAAATGGATCACGCTTGCATGTGCCTGTTTGCTAACTTGCTCAATAACAGCTCCGAAAATGTTTACATGGCGGCTATTAATGTATTTACAGCACAAAGTCAAACTTTGTTGAGCACAGATGCGAGTCACTGCGCTGCCTGCTTTCTCAAAACTCAAACACTCCTGTAGAGATGGGATCTCAGTGTAAATGTTGAGTCTGTTTTTGCAGCACACATAAAACCAGACTTTGAGAAAGCAGAACACGAGGGTTCTGAAATACACACACTGATAAGGGAAGCAGACAGCATATAAACAAGGCCGTGCGGTTTAATGATAGAAATGCAGTGAGGGAGAATGTCGTGTACCTAACGTGGAGGCTCTGAAATAGAGGACGGGGATCTGATAGCTGCAAGAATACAGAATGTGGTATTCATAGCGCAGCACAGCGTGAATTTCACATACTGCCTGAACTCCAGCCATTTCATCCTCAACGTTTGCCTAGAAAACAAGACAGAGAGAAACGGGTAGAAAGTGAGAGAGACACATGCCATTCAATGACAAAAATACAGACATATATGCGACAAAAAATGTCACATTTTGAGACAACATACTTAATTCAAGTATTAGTTCACTCAAAAATGAATATTCTATCATCATTTACTCACTATCTTGTTGTTCTAAACTCTTAAGAATTATTTAAATCCATAGAATACAAAAGAAATTTATTAGAATGTTTACACTTCTCATTGTTGTACACAAAGTCTGGGGTAAGTACGTTTTTTTTTTCTTTTAAAGAAATAAACATTTTAATTCAGAAAAAAATGCATTTAATTGATACTAAAGACATTTATAATGTTACAGAAGATTTATATTTCAAATAAATGCTGTTATTTTAAACTTTCAATTCATCACAGAATCCTGAAAAAAGTATTTTTTTTCTAAAAAATTAAGCAGCACAACTGTTTTCAACATTGATAATAAGAAGAAATCAGCATATTAGAATGATTTCTGAAGGATCGTGTGACACTTAAGACTGGAGTAATGATGCTGAAAATTCAGCTTTTCATCATAGCACTAAATTACCTTAAAATACAAATCAGTTTTTGAAATTCTAATAATATTTCACAATAGTACTGTTTTTATTGTATTTTTTGCTTAAAGAAATGTAGCCTTGGTGGGCAGAAGAGACTTTCTTTTCAAAAATACTTAAACAATTTACTTTTGAGAGGGCATTCAAGCTCTAAAATTGAGAAAATAATGATAAAAAATAAATAAACACTATAAAAGTGGTCCATATGACTTATATCGCCATATTGGATTCAAGTGATACTGTATACTACAAAAGTCATATGCACTGAAAAATTTGGTGCAGAAACAATTTTCACACAGAAATTGCAAGAAAATTTCACAATTAATTACAAAGAAATGGCAATTAACACAGAATGAAACATCTGAATTTTGAAGACGAAAGATGGAAATAGCATGTTGGAGTTAAACATACTTCAATAATCTTTATTTACAGTACAACTTGTGTGGATTAAACTTCTAGTGCTTTCATGTTGTTTCTGTTTTTGGAGCTCAACAGAATCCATCTCTGTTAACTGTCAGAATACACACAAGAGCAGCCAGCACATTCTCCTAAACTTCTCCTTTTGTGCTCCAAAAGAAATATAGTCATTCCATCATACAGGTTGAAGGGGCATGAATGAATACATTTCCATTCTATTCATATACAACAGATATGAAATCTTGCCACATAAATGCTAATTCGGTTTACACCGCTTCAATGATCTTCTGCAAGAAAAGGAAGTGGCTTTCCACATGCAAGAAGTCATGTATGGAGCCATATCACATATCTGATCCATGATACGTGTGCAGACTTGCCATTAACCCTGAGCCGTGATACCAAACCCAAAGCCAGCGACACACGCGAGTGATTCATCGAGCAGTATGTGACTTCATTCTTCTTCCCAAACTTGACTGATGAAAACAAGATCTCCTTAACAGTCCGTGTGGGCAACAACACGTGTTTACCTTTTTGCTTTCCTCTTGCATCCTTCATCGATAGGATGTTGTTGACATGTTGAGGGAGTTTGTACACTCCCCCCTTTGTGTTGAGGAGCATGAGTAATGGCATCATGCACAGGACCCTCGAGCGGGTCCACATGCCCAAATGTTGTGCAGACTGTTTACCAAGGTTACCTCTCTTTCAGGCGGCGCGCACTGGATTTTCCCGCTCTTTCTCGACCTGCAACCCCTGGTGATTAATTGGCTGTCAGAATGTGGAATAAAGGTTTAGGGCGCTGCAACTTGCACAAGCACAGATAAACAGGAAGGAATGCCGTCATACTTGGGAGGAGTTAACAACCATTACTGGGGAGTAACTAGAACTAACAGCGACACAGCTAACTTACTGTAACTACATTATGTAGACATCACAGTGTAGCTTCGCCACTAACAAGCTACTTTTATTGACAAGTAGCCATGTAACACAACAGAAGGTAACAATTTGGAAAGTCATATTTGTTTTAGTAAATTGGACAGTTTTGGACAGTTTTAAAAAATTGGACAGTTGTAAAGATGATATAAATCAACCAAATCAAAAGGAAACGATTTACTGATTCAAGTCTTGGTGCAGGATTTTGCATGAAACCTTTTTTATGCCATGTTATTGAAAAATACAGCTTTTATTAAATTATACATAATATAATCTTATTGTAATTTTTATTTTATTATTATTACTACTACTACAATAATAATAATCATAATAATAATAATAATAATGTTATATCTGAAGTATTATTCAAGTTCTATATTGAAGCTATATGGGGTGAAATATATTTTAACAATAACAACAACAATTACAATAATAATACTTTTTCATATATTTAAAAGATATTGCACCCTTACATAGCTTTGGCATTTTAGCTACTATTAATTAATTTGAGCTTGAAAAATATTATATAATAATAATATTTTTATCTATCTATCTATCTATCTATCTATCTATCTATCTATCTATCTATCTATCTATCTTCAAATTAATTATTACCAGTAAATTACATTGAAGCTATATGGGGTGAAATAAACATGATACATTTTAGTATTATTATTAAATAATAATAATAATTATTATTATAATTAATGTTATTATTATTACCAATATACTATAATATAACATAGTATAATGTAATTATTATTATTATTACTACCAATAATATGTATTTTATTGTTACCAATAATTATATATTAATAATATATTATTATTACCAATATTATTATTGTTATTATTATTATAATTATATAATTGATGCTATAAAGAGGGCAATATTTGATAAAAAAATAATAAAAAGAAATGTTAAAAAAATAATAAAAATTATTATAAAATTATAATATAATATTATCCATACTTATTATATTATTATTATTATATTGTTTTATACACACACACACACACACTTATATACCAATAATATACTATACTATAGTATATAGTATAATATACTATAATATACTATACTATACCATACCAATAATAAATAAATATTATTAAAATATTCAAGGTCAGATTAATACTACACTGAAGCAACATAAGAGCACAATATCTTTTAAATATATATACAAACAATAAAAAGTAATAATTACTAGAATTATAATAATACTTTTTTATTTTATATAATATACATTTAAACGATATTGCCCCCTTCAGTGTAGTTAGCTTTTGTTAGTTTGTAGGCTCCTACTTCTCAAAACAATAGCTTGATTGTAATAGAACTACTTTATAATAAAACTACTTCATGATTTTAAAAAAAGTCCTAAATTAGCACTCCTAAATGGCACCTGTGACATGATTTCTGTCACACGGAGGAGGCTTTGAGACGCTATGACATCACTATGGCCTTTGCGGCTCACACTGATACGCGCAGGTTTAATTAGTGATAGTGTCTGAGCGACAAGCTGGATCAGCAGCGGCGGTGGCTGGATCCCTGGCAGCTTCAATGCAGGCTCAAGGATTGTTCACACATCCATGCCTTCACCGATAACATCTCCTCCCTCCCATACAAGCGCAAGTCTTGAGAGACACACTACTACTGTTTCACATCCGACGTCTGTCAGGAATGAAAGCGTTTGGAAAGAGGGAAGGCAGGTCAACTAAACAATGATGTCATGCTTTTTCCAAACAATACCGGCATTGAAAGGTAAAATATCTCACCTAGAGGCTGTAAAATAATGTGTGGGATGATGAGTAAAGCAGAAAACGCATTCAATTTGGGGTCCGCCGTGGCAGGAACTCGTTTAGCAAAACGAATATTCACAGCTCTCATTCAACCTTTGCATAACTCACTTTTCGACTGCATTTGGAATTCAAATAAAGGACAAAAGTTCAGCTGCTGTTCGTGCACCGCTTAAAAATGTCAAAAGGTCAAGTTCAAAAAGGGGCGTTTATTAACTTTGAAATGTGTTTCTAGCAACAACTTCTGGCATCCGCCACTGTTTGTTGTCATTCAAACGCTGCCGTGTTTACGTTCAAGCAGGTGTACAGACGTAACGGTGCAATCGCTAAACGACGGCACCTGTTCAACTCCACAAACACGCGAGCAAAGCAAAGGGCTGCGTGGCACATTGCAGCAGACGCTTTAAATAGCATCGTCTAAAGAGATCTAACAGAGCCATGAGCTCAGGTATACACTTTATACGCGCTCCGTTTTTCACTGTCAAAAGGAAGATCATCAATACTGGACGCGCAATAGCAGAATAGAAGACGTTCCCTTCGCTTACCTGAATACCAGCGCATGGCTGGGTAATTTCAGAGGATGATGAAGGATGGGCTCTTTCATTAACCTAAATAAGCCCTAATTATGGGTTTAATTATCCTAGTAATTCCGTTTACATTCTTCGCACTTAAAGGATTAAAATATCTTTTGCTTCTGCATGCATCTCTTGGGGAACAAATAAAGATTGCTTCCTTAAATGTGGTTATATAGCAGCACTCTAGTGGTTGAGTGAGACCCAAAAAAAGAGCCTGTCCTAAAAGGGAAAACAATGCTGACTGCAAATAATAAAATGCATCTAACCATGTAGTCGTGACTTGCAATGAAAATAAATATTTTAACCAAAAAAAAAATTCTATGCTTTATTATTGGCTGAAACCATTTTAGATCACTACTAAAACTGTAAAGCATGGAGGGCCAAATTACTCAAAATTAAATACCTAAATCGTTAAATACATAATTAAATAATTGAATACATAAATAATATATTAATAATTAAAGGGGTCATATGATGCTGCTAAAAAGAACATTATACTTTAGTCTTTGCAACTTTACAGATCTTCTTTATGCACCAAGAGCTTGTAACACTCCAAAGAGAAAGGACAAATTGAAATAGCATCATATGACCCCTTTAAGCAGTTGAGAAGAACATTCTACTGCCTACAAACCTAAAGAAGACACTATAAGGACTGCTATTCTTGTTTACTGAAGTAACGACCCCTTCATGTACAGCTGCTCATAGACAAAGAGTAACATTGAGCACAGCTCCACAGGAGTCAGGTGTGTGGCACTGAAAGGGTTAACCCTGATAGATTTTTGTTGAGTGAGGCATTTATTCACTCCCTAAAAGAATTCCAGCACTCAAAACAGGATGCCACAAAAAAGAAAAAAGCAGTCCTGGCTTCTCTAATCTTCCACAGATCTTTTTGGATTTTTTTTCTTCCTTTCC